GTGACCTTCCTCCTTCCAGGTGTGGTTTCAGAACCGCAGGGCCAAGTGGAGGAAGAGGGAGAAGTGTTGGGGTCGCAGCAGCGTGATGGCGGAGTACGGCCTGTACGGAGCCATGGTGCGTCACTCCATCCCCCTCCCCGAGTCCATCCTCAAGTCGGCCAAGGACGGCATCACGGACTCCTACGCTCCCTGGCTACTGGGTAAGCTGCTGCAGGAGGACCGTGCAGATTACACACCAACCAAAAGAGAAGCTTTTCTTTGCAGAAGCACCAAAATGATTTTTAAAAAAAAGAGTTTTGGGAGAAAAAAAAAGGCCTCATCTGTCATTTTATTGTCCTCTGCGGGGAAACACTTATAGAATAAACTCATTGCTCACGTCTCTCTTGAGATTTTAACCCGGATGTCTCATCATCAATCATAGCAGCATCCTGCATCACTGAGCCTTTGAAAAATGGTTAGAAACAAGCACAGAGTGTCTTAAAACACAGATACCCAAACACATATTGACCCATTTGGTATGAAAGAGCAGCAAAAAGGTGACATTTTCCACCATTTTTCCTTCATTGGTGATAAACTAAAGCTGCTGCATCAAAACAGTCTTTTGAAAACACCTTTAAAAACGCCTCTCTCTCTTTTCTTTTAAACATTAATGCATAAACTACAGAATTTCCAGGTTGTCTGATTGTGTTTCAGAGCTCAGATTAAGTTGGATTCTGACTGGAAGCGAGTGTTAAGCCCGACTCACATCAGGAGCCAATAAAGGCATCAGCATGTCATTAAAACGTAGCCGTCAATACGGTGATAATCCTACTTCATCAGGACAGATTAGAGCAAATCTCCTCCAGAGCCTCGTGTCAATTGATTAGTTTCAATCAATTAGGTAACTCTAATTGAATAAGAGGTGATATTCCCTCACTCTTCATTCCCTTCCACATTCTTTTTCAATGTCAAACACCAGAGTACGTAAGAAAATGTCATTTAAATGCCTTTTTTAAAATAAAGAAATCACCCTTTGCACGCTCACTGAGATGATGCAACTATTAAATGAACAACCCTGTATGTTTTTACTCAGGAATGCACAAGAAGTCGGTTGAAACTCCCCACCCCTCCCCAGGGAAAGCCAGCAGCCTGACACCACCTCCACCTCCACCTCCAGCAGCAGCAGCAGCAGCAGCAGCGGTGTTACAGGAGAAAAGCATGGACACGGTGATGGAGGAGGAGAAGCAGAGCAAAGACACTAACTCGCCAATTTCTAAAGAGGAGCTGAGGGAGAACAGTATCGCCGCGCTGCGAGCGAAGGCGCAGGAGCACAACGCCAAGATGCTCGGGACAGTTTCTGACAAAGCGACACACAAAGAGGAGGCCGAGGATCAGGTGACGGAGCAGGAAACGGCAGAGGTGGAGAAGAGTAATTGAAAATAATGGGAAAAAAAAATAAAAAAGCCAGAGGATACGGACTGATGGTGAAACACCTGCAGAACGACGTTTTCAGACATTTTCTCGGAGGCAGAAGTCTTGTGTCCGGGGCTGAATTCAACTCAATAACTCAACTCATCGCATCATTTCTGCCTCTCAGAACCAGAGCTGACCAAAACTGCACAACCCATCTCCTTCTGTAAGCGTGGAGGAGGCTCAAGCACAGAAACGTTGGTGGCAGATGTTCTGACGTAGAGCTGCGTTGGGATATATATACATATAAATATATTTATTTTCTTTAAGATACAGAGTTAACTTACCAGTTCTGTGACATGGCAGCTTTTTTATGCAACACCTTTATCACAGAGAGTTGGAGCAGACAGGTGCAAGAGGCTTTTGGTGTGCTAATAGGGAGTTTTTGGACGTCTGTGGTGACAGATTATCAGCTGGAGACTCTCACTGGAACAACAGGTGGCACCAAATCCTGTGGCGGGAAAAAAAAAAAAAAATTCAACCTAAAAACTGTTTTATTCCAGCTGTACAAATAATTATTCTGTACATATTGAAAATGTCCATTAGTCAGTCCTGTACTATGATGTATAGAAAAACCACTTATGTTTGTCTCTGTATAAATGTAACTGTAGTCGAATTAAAAGTTA